AGGCCGTGTGGTGTCCATTATATATGTCCATTATATATATATATATATATATATATATACTTTGCTACCGGACAACGTCGATGGTCTGCGATGCACCCGAGCGTAGTCTTTCGACCACCCGTACACGTATCGATAAGCGATGTTATTATATTTTTTATTTATTTCTTTTTCTTTTTTTACGTACATTTCGTATACGCTTATGAAACGTATATCATTTGCATTGTCGACCGTTGACAGTTTGCGAATCCATTATATAGTATGCAGGCATGTGTACAAGTGTGCGTTTCGTTACCGTAAATTTGGACTTGAAATACTAACTTGGTATGCCTTCCCTCCCCTGTTGATTGATATGTTTGTGTAGGTATTTGCAATATATATTTACTAAGATAAAATTACAAAACTTACAAAGAAATTTAGAAGTTATGATTTAGCAAGATTATCTAATGTATGTTATGTAGTAACTTGATGTCAAAGACTTTAACATTTTTAAAAAGTTTTTAAAATTATATTATGTCAATTAAAAAAAAATAAGTACTTATATAAGGTGTTTTAACTCCCTTGACGTATTTAAGGCGCATTTTTGGAAAGGGGTTAGAAAAACATAGCCCCCTCCCCCAAAGAGTAAAATTAGATACGTCACTGATCTACGGAAGGCTTATGTATTGATTGTAATGCAAGCATATTGTTTTAATGTTGTGATGCTATGTTGTACAGTAAAATCAAACTTTAAATATAAATAGTACCATGGAATCTACTTACAAATTCGGTGTAGTTCAAAGTTGTTCTTACGCAAGTATCAAATAATACAAATCACTTTTACCACATGACTATTTTAGTCGAATAATTACCTTGTGTTTCGCAATACGTATGCACTTTGAATATTTTTATTTTACTACGAACTATTGATAACCTTAATACGTATAAATACTTAAAATAGTTTCAAAAAATATAATGTTTACGTAAAATTAAATATTTATTAATCGATTCTAAATGTAAACGAACAAAATTACAAACTTCAAAAATTAAATATGTATTTTAAGAGTCGTGACTTAATTGACTATGTATACATCAGATAACGTATTTTTCATTCAAAACTGGTCATATTTTCAAACATAATAATACTCCAGACCAAGCAAAAATAGTGCACTAGGCAAAATCAAATTTTGCCACCTCCAAAAAAAAATTGAGCACTTATTTCAACTTATCCTCTCTCCCTATTATTTATGTGACATACCTATCTACATAAAAAAATTTTAATTTTTTATTTTATGTATAAAATTAAGTATGTAAAAATACTTAAAAATGATTTCTATAATTATTACTCAAAATCCATCACCATCGCTACTGTCGGAAATCGCGGAAGTGATTGTGTATTTATATTTTATATTTATTTATATTTTTGGAATAATTTTAGAATAATTGAAAACGCCCAGCGTAGGCCGTAATATAAAGTGATATAATAACTTTAGACAATATTATTTTATTATACAGGTAAGTGGTTTTCACGAATGAATTAATTTAACTATTTTTCATATTAAACACCGATAAAACTAAAAAAAATGTACGAATCAATTTTGAAAATGCCACCTTTACTAAAGTGCCGCTATAGGGAGGTGCCTAGATCGCCTATACCTCGAGCCGACTCTGAAGCTAAGCATTTATTTATTTATTGATTAACTGTATTTTATCCGATATCCTTGGTACACACAATATATTAATATTATAATAGATCGGTCGTTCAATAATGATAATTAATGGTTACTGAATAATATAAATTTAGTAAATTATGAGTAACGAACGATATCGGACAAAATACGGTTCATTACAAAATTATATCGATATTTTTGTAACATAATTGCGTTCATGAGACTCTTAATAGTATACAAATATTTTAAAAAAAGAAGCTTACATATAGAAATGAATAAATTAATGCTTAGCCTGGAGTATTATTACATTTGTAAAGTACGACCGGTTTGGAATTAAAATGTAATCGTCAAGTATACAAAAAGTCAATAAAATCGCGACTCATAATAAATTAAGTCTTAGCATTTGCTTTTCGTGTGTGTGCTATTTATGCACTCGTGACACTACGAATTTGCTCTTTGGGTGGCGGTTAGAAGACGTAGTTATTATATATTTTATACAGGTATTATTATTACTATTATTATTATTATATGTGGTAAAATTGCACGGACGTTTCACACCCCCTCGCGAGCTCACGGCTCGTTAACCTCGTGACAAGGTGGACTTATATAATATATACCTGCGAAACGGCATTGTCAGGCTCGTGTTCATAAATATATATATTTATATATGTATGTAAATACGTACGGGGTACCTCATCGCTATTACGGGGATGGTTATAACTCCTATACGCGCGTACACAGTGCCTGTATAATATGCGTATACCTAACCAACACATTATATAAGCGTTTTCCGCACACATACAAGTGTATATCGCATATTGTGTGTGCGTGTGGTGGCAAAAATTGAATGGCACTGTTTACCGGTGTGCCCGCGGGTGTCCTATATTATATTATGTACACGTAAGTGTGTGGGTGTGAGTGTGTGTCTGTTTTGGCATGACGATTCATCCACAAGCGGTGATAACAATAATATATACAACAACAACGGAAAACGGCTTGTGTGTGTGCTGGTTAGAAACATTTTTTCGTCCCGGTAACCTCGTGTTTACCTAAACATTGTCCCGAGGTGTGGAAATTAACCCCTTTGACGGACGGACAATAAGATCTATTGGCTCGGAGTATTTTCTCTGTGTGTATATCTGTACGTACCTGTACTATATGGTAGTAACTATTATTTTTTTCCCCTCTCCATACGATTTTGCCGGATGCTGCCAGGTGTATGTGAAAGGCGCGAAGAATCCGCTAAATGCGAATGATTGAAAACGAAAATTGAATACAATATGTGTACGAGATCGATTTGAACCTTTGTATAAGTCTGTGGTAAAAAAAAAAAAAAAAAAATGTTAGTATACATATTATACTCGGCATGGATTATTTTTGAAAAGCGATTTATGACAGTCGATTAAACGTTTTCAATTTATTTATAAACCTGTGAACACAGATACACTACCTCTAAGTATAAATTGACCTACTGCGCGAAAACGATTTAAATTTTATAAGTTCTAATTTCAAAAAATTATATCATTGATAATTTGTCTGTACAATAGTTTTGCGAATAGTTATTAACACGTTGTCAGTTCAATTTCAATGTCATTTATATGACTTCAGTGGCTCCAAACACGTACCTAGGTAGTTCAATTAAACTGCCTGGAAAATTGGAACGTTAAAAAAAAAAAGAAAAATGATCATTAAACAATTTAAATTAATGTTTTATACATTACTTGACAAGTATTTTATATTTAAAATAGTATATTTAATAATTAAATATTATATAACATTTTTAATTATTAAATGTGTTAAAAAAAGGTTTTGGTATTTGAATGGATAGTATATTGGAAGGAGTTGGGTGGGTAAATCTAATTATTTGAACTGACAGTTTCAATTTCATTCGGCGCCGCTGTATGGATTTTACCATAGTTTAATATCGTCCAAATACATCATTAGATATAATTTAAAAAACAAAATTTTCTTCCATCTTGTATGGTATTCATTTTTTCACGAATCAACAGAATAATACACAATACATTTACGATACTGACGAATTCAAATCTCAGTGGTGTAGTCTTAGATAAATAATTGTTTATGTTTAATAGATTATTATTATGACCTCGTCGAAACGACCATTGGTATTGAACCCGTTTGGTATTTTATACAGTACGCACATTTTTCTTTGTAAAATAATATTTCAACGGAAAAAGACAAATAAAACAACGCAGTGCGATAAAACACTGGGAATCGTGAATTTTTTAGTTGTGCAGGGTAATAAGTGAACATAAAAATAATTGAGTTTGGCTATTTGAGACTAGATGACATGCCACTTCGAATGGAAGTAATTCGACTGCAGCAGAACGGCAATGAGTATAATAATAAAAATGATAATAATAAAATCCAAACATAATTTAGGGCGAAACTGGGGTAAAGTAGCAACATTGTTTCCGTAATACTGGAAAAAAAAACTGTCCTAACAAAAAAATCATCAACAAAAGGACAATCGGAGCATGTGACGAAAAAAAAACTTGTGCCTACGACGTTCATTGTGTTGGATGAACGCAGATTTACGGCAAAGGGATGTACAGTTTTTTCTCGAAAAAAAGAGTGAAATGGGAGGGATATAAATGAAATTGAGTCGCATGTTTTTTTTTATACTCCCCCTTCGATTGGCCACGTTTTAGGGTTAAAAGTGATGATTTTTTTTTTTATGGTAAACCTAGTAGGCGTTTTGCTGCGGGGTAAACAAATCGTAACAAATAACGGAAAATATTACTTGCCCTATTTGTTGCACGCCGTTTAAACGTTGTTTTGTCATATAATATTCAATTGATATTTATATACGAGTATATATATTTATACGGTAATGTTCTTATACAATTTTTAAAGTTAACTAATTTGCCAAGCGTCATGAAGATTTTATATTTATTTTTGTGGTTTAATTTTAAATACAATTAAAATGTGTTTTACATATTTTTCCTTTCCGCACCGAAATTTTTAAATTATTATGTTGATATTATTAGTTATTTTACAGATGTTTGGTCACTAACTTATACGGTATAACTTATATTGTATCATGAAGATCGATTCAAAAAATCGATTCGTCACATAAAAAATATCGATTCAAATAGTCCATCACTAGTATGAACACATTAGTGTAACAATACGTAAGTTATGTTTTAAAAGTAGAAAGATAAGAAAGTACTTGACTTACATATGTGCTATGTTATGCAATGGGAACAAAATGCATGTTCTAGGTTTAGGCCCGATTCGCCGACCCCCAATTAGCCGACTACTCGTTTCGCCGACGCGGAAACCGGTTTCTGGTAAAAATAGAAAATGTTCCGATTCGCCAACAAATTGTAGGTTCAGGATCCAGGACTATAAACCACCTTGAAGGATGGCATGCAGCTCTTAATAAAGCTGTTGGTAGACCAAAGCTAAACATTTTTATTTTAATTAAAGAGCTAAAAAACCAACAACAAAATTTCGAACTTGACATAGCGCAAAAAAATGCAATCAGCCACAAAAAATGAATATTAATACAGAAAATTAGAGGAAAGATTATCATTTGCAAAAGAAAGGTATAACTTTTAATATTTTTACAATTGGATTTGATAATAATAATAAATAATAATATATTTTTTATACAATTTTAGACTACAAAATGGTACTATTTGTATTATGGAATATTTGGACGCAATCATGTTCCATTTGCATCTTGAAAACAAAAGATTAGCTTTAGAAGATTAAAATATAAAAAAATAATGTGTTTAATTAATATATAATATTTTTAATTTTAAGTATATTTAATTTTGAACTAAACATATTGTGATGAAAATGTATATTTTTAAGTATAATTCATTTAAAACTATAATATGAAATAATGTCGGCAAATCGGCTGTCGGCAAAATGATGTGTCGGCGAATTGGATTGTCGGCCAATCGGTACGTCACGTCTACACCAGGGGTGGGCAATTGGCAGCTCGCGAGACTTTTTTATCTGGCACTTGCTATATTTTAAAATTATATCATACAATTTTAAAGTTTGTCGTCTATACTCTAACTCAGGGGTGTCCAACCTTTTGTGAAGGCTGGTCCATATCATATGGGTAGAAGTTGTTGTGGGTCACATATTTTTTTTTAATAAAACATTCAAATTTCACGAGTAAATTTTATTCTATAATACAACTAACATTTTTTAAAATTTTACAATAGCGAATAATGAGCAGAAATATTTTTACAAATATTAATAGGTATTTAATTATAATTACACAGAAAAATATATTTATTTATAATAATAAAAAAAAAAAAGTTTTATAGTTTTTTTAGTATTTAATATAAGGTAAGATGCCGCAACAGTAAAAACACGGACGTGTGCATTGGCCCTTACAGTTTATTTGATGTTTTATATTCTTAAAATAAATTTGTTCTCGTAATATTAATATATTATATACAATTAATTGATAGTTTTTAAATTGAAGTAAGGACCTAATCAAAATCTACCGTGGGCCGCGGATTGAACACCCTTGCTCTAACTTATCAATGTAATAATTTTTATCTGGTATTAAACATCATTAAATGTCTAAATATCATATGTATGTAGAAGTATAGCTTTCAACCATAGCTATTTGTACAGAACTTTTTAACTATATCAGTTTCTTCGTATCATTCGTATCGTCGTGAGTGTTGAATTAAATGCTAATTAAAATTCATATTTTGAAATTTTTTTTGTTTTTTTTTGTTTTCTATGCTCTGGCCCACTAGACTTAAATTTTCTAAAAATTGGCCCTCTAGTAACTTTGAGTTGCCATCCCTGCTTTACATTACAATATACGAAAAGAAAATATGTTTCAATGATATTTCATCGAACGACGGTATAAACTTTTATTCACAAAATTCGAATCGCGGCAACGTCAATAAGCGTCTATAAGCGAGGCTTGTACAAATGTGTCTAGACTGTAAAAAAATAATGTACGCGAGAAGGACCGTTGTATGTTTATTTCATATACGATGAACTATTCAATCGGACTCGGCGCGTTTCAATATGAAAAGCAATAAAGAAAATAACTACTGTATATTAGCTGCGCGTAATAATATCCACTGAACAAATATTGGTTTTTACGATTGCGATCGAAAGAAAAAAGAAAAACCCGTTTGCGTGGTGTGCAAAGACGGTTTTGTATGTCTCGGCGGACAGCATGACCGAACCGATTGTTATTTCTTTTCAAACGAGCCGTACGATCGGTTGCGATTTCATTTACGACGTATAGAAAAGTGTGTTACGTCAATATTCCGATGTATTATTCACGTAGGGGGTGGGCTCGTTCACAAAGACGGCTTTACTTACCGTCGTCCGATCTTCCGTATTATGTAATAATTTTGTGTTGCGCACGTTCATCGCTATAGTGTCGTCCGACTCTTGCTGCAGCAAATGGTTTCCCCCTCGATTACGATGGATTACATATTGTAATTGTGACTCGTGTGATAATACGCATATCATCACGCCACGGTCCGAATCACAATTGCAATTATGATGGCTTTGCTTTGATTTGATTGTTTTACACTGTTTCAAGCGCATAGCTTCTGGCAGTAAGAATGATTGGGACTGATGTGTTACTAACTAAATACGCTCATTAGGCTTACTTATGTTGGACTTGGAAGTCAGAAGTCAATAGGACTGTTAATATATTTCTGGGTGGTTGCAGTTCTTCTGCTGATGTCGGAGATTTGATTGTGTGAAGAATGGATGATTTGAGTTTTGACGGAGTTAACAAGTTGATTTATGTAGTCCTTGATGGATAGAATGACGGTGGAGTGTCGAATGGTTTTGTTATTCACGAACCAAGGTTGACCGGAAATTTGTCGGAATGATGTTGATTGAAGCCTTTCAAGTTTAGACCAGCTAGTCGAAGAAATGTTGGATGCCCAGTTGGGAGAAGCATTAGTGGAATTATGATGGCGAGTGGACGAAATTTCTTATTGCTCTGTTCGTCGTTTTTCGTGCCAATCAAGTTGAATAGCGCAGTTGAAACGATGTTAACTTTCATTTTCAAATTGGTGTCACGTTTGAATTTGTTCCGATTCATTCAGATCTCAAGACAAATGCCGTTAAATACTCGTCGTAACACACCGTCTCGAACCGGTAAAAAACGAAAAATCTTGCGAATTACACCTGCTTCTGTTCCGAATCGTAGTCTCCATGACGTGCGGGCGTACAAGAAAAATTGTTCGCGTGTCATATGAACCATGGTTTAAACCGTCGCCACCGGTACAATGCACACGAATTCATCGTTTGTTAAACTTAGTTTCAGTTTTTTTATCGCACTCGTAATTAGCGGAAAGGGCACGTCGTTCTGCTCCCTGCGTCCTCGTGTGTAACGTTACACTCAGGTCCAAAGGCCAAACTAGGAGGTGGAAGACGGGAATTCATCCCTGGGTGTAAGATTTAAGAGAGTGTAATTTTTATAACTATTAACAACTAATTTGATATTTTTAACTTTGTTGAACACTGATATTAAGTTGAAACTTGATTTAGTAAGAGTGTATATATATATACACTATATATATTAACTATTAGAAAAAAATTCTCGAGAAGAGTATTATTTGATTATTGGTCTATGATAGGGCGTAATTTTAACATTTTCTCCGGGCGTAAAAATTCCTAGTTCCACCTCTGCTCGAGTCTCTCGGACGGTGTTCGGCACAAGGGAGTTCGAGTGCGGAGGGTATGGTATTATAACGAAGCAGGGATTACGCGCGTACGCGAACACCGTCGTTCGGCGAACGCAGTGCGTACATGCCGTTTGTCGGATAGCGCGTGCCCTGGCCCCGATATCGGATAATACGAACCGGACGTGCGGCTCCGCGACTTCCAGGTCCGATTTGAATGTATTAGACGTCGCGGCGGAGATCACCGTCGGTCCGGAGCCGTTTGCTCGCCGGAGCGAACGGGGAGTCCGCTGCGAAGACCGACGCGCGCGCTCCGAAGTAAACGGCCCGTGACGAGGAAGTTGTCCATGAAACGGACGTCCGGATCTACTACCCGATACAGTTTGCAGCATCGTGCGCAAATCGAGTTTGCAGCACTTGTCCGATTTAATGAATTTGCATCTTACACAAGACTCACCGAGTCGTGATACGATCGTCTATCGATGCACGGTACTGTTTTGCGCAGTTAGACTGTGACGCGTATGTTTTCGCGACTTTAGCGTACGCCTTTCGTCGAGCACGGTGCATAGGTGTTTTCCGATCACAACAACTTATCGATTCCGAGCGAAACGAAAATTTTTCCGATCGTCACCAAACGCAAATAGTAAAATATAGGAAACGATTTCTCTAGTTGGTACTTTCGGGTGCCATTTTTTGAATTGCTCCATAGTTTATCCAAACTAACCTTTCTAAACTAATGATCGCATACTATTTTGTCATGTGCTATTTAATTTTTGTTAGTGTTTGCACGATTTCGAGACCGGATTGATTGTTCTGATCATAACAATCATAGGAAATTTCGAATAGGAAATATCGTCTAGTTGGTACTTAGAATGAAGTAATTTTACACATTTGTCAACAGTTTATTTAACAATTGTAAATAACTGATAAAAAGTTACAAAAATACCGATAATTTTTACAGCGTAGCGGTTTTCGACAAATCCGAATTTTTCTTTTCGTTAAATATAATTATCATAGAATATGAAATGTTCACTAAATTCTTATGTCATTTTTAGGGGTAAATGATATAATAATTTTCAAATGTTTATCTTTTGAACTATTTATAGAAAATTTAAATCTTCATATTTTCTTAGCTTATTTCAAAAATGTTGTTAAAATAATTGTTGTTTTAAAAAAAGTCTTCAAAACTGAATACAAAGTTTCTCATATTTATTTATTATTGAATAACAAAAATTAGTTGAATTTCAAAAACATAAATAAATCTACGTACGTTATAACATTAAATGTTGATAAAAAGCTAAAAACCAAAAATACCTGTTATACCTTAGAAGTCAAAAATTCTAAAAATTGTTCATTTCTTATATTTAAGGCTTGACAAATTGGATACAACATTTTTCATTAAACGATGTCGATTATTTAGTTAGACATTTCGTAGTATTGAACTATTTTAAAAAATGTGTGCTGTTTATAGGCACTTGGTAATTTTAAAGGTATTTTTTTGTGAAACAGAAGATAAAAATATTAATGAAAAACTTTATATGCTATTGAAAATTTTCATTCTTCTATTATATAAACAAATATATACTGATTGGGTAGACTTCTTTCACTCAGATTCATTTTTTCGAGAGCAATAATACGTTGGTGTCAAATTTAAAAAATCAATACGACGATATTATTCACCCATCCTAGTATCTCATCTAACCGTAGAGTCTAGTCCGATCTAAGAGTCTCGCTCTTATTGTTTAATCGTACGTACTTGTTTTTCACAGGCATTGTATTTTAAAACGTATTTCAATATGTGCACATATTAACAAGATGATATGAAACGAGATGATTTGTGCCCGACAGCGGATGTGTGAATTTTGCAATATTTTTATTAAATTTTCAATTCTTATAGTCTCAACGAGTTATACGTTTACTTATTCGAAATAGTATACACTTCTTAAATCCGTATTATCGTAATAAATCGTCGAACACGAAACTGGAAAAAATATTTTTGTTGTAATGCTTAATATGATAAATAGCGTACACTTCGTACGCATGGAGCTACGGGGCTCTGCACTAATCCGAAAACAGTTAAGG